AAATTTTGCTTGTGTTTGTGATCTGGAAACAAGGATTTGTTTAGGAAGGTTATTATCTTTCATCTACGTTGCCTTTAATTCTTCAATGCTAGTTTGGTGACTTTCATTTGTTACATACCAATTTTGTTTTTCTTTTCGTTTTTTTTTTTGATATAGCTATTCCTTTGTTGTAACATACAGAGTTGGTTGATGCTGTCCGGCTTAGGGTAATTACTGATTGGAAAATTTAGGATTTTAGACTATTATTAAACCTCTATTGGCTTTGTTTTGTTAAACGATTCATTGCATGTTGTGGTTGAAGCCCCTAGGCTGAAGCACAAGGACCCGGTTGAAGTGGCTGAGCTGAAGATAAGCTTTGGTTCAGCTGCATAAATGACACAAGATAAGCTTCGGAGAAATGAGATATGGCTTTCGGTTCTCAGGGTTGGAATTGGAATCAGAATCCAAATTCATTGGAATCAAATTGAAATGGTCTGTTCCTCCAATCGAATTGGAGTGATCTTTTCCTCCTATCTAATGGAGGAATGCCATTTCACCAGGAATGGGAATATTGAATTTAAATTCTATCCAATCAAATAATTGGAATTGATGTGGATTAGTCCAAAACTCCAAATTTAGATCCCATCCAGAGGTTGATTAGAATAAATCCATCTGTAATTAAATTAAAAAAATTCGTTCCAACAAATTCAACAGTAAAGTTGAAATTAAAAAAAATTAGAAGGGTTGAATCAAGGTTTTTAGGGTTTGGCTCTCTAAAATGGAGTTTGAATCAAAATAAAAAATCATTGGAATCGAATGTGAATATCCTTTTCCTCATATCTGTTTGGTTCGAATCGGAATTAATTGGAATGGGTTCACTCCCAAGGAGGTGTTGGGATTAGCCATTTATTGAAAACCAGTTGAAACCAAACAAGTTGCTGTTTGAGAGGACTGAAGTGAAGTGGAGTGTCTCTTAAGGTCTAACTTTTCCGGGGCTTTACGGTCTACACTGACAGTCTTTTTTAATGCAGAGGTCAAATTGTTTAATTGGGACCCGTGTGATGTATGGGTTTTATTAATAAATATTGTGGAAAGAGATTTATGACATTTCCAATTGAAGTGTTTATTTGGTTGTCTTATGACATTTTCAATTGATTAGGTCAAAATCCGTAGTTCAACCATTAACCCATTTGATCTAGTGTTCATTTTTTTTCGATAACTTTTCATAATCTTTGCAACCCTATTATTCCAAAAAGAAAACTCATTTTTGTGGTGTTAAATCCCAATTTTTGTCTCTTTTATTTATGAAAGTTAAAACTTAAAACAAAAGTATAAATTGAACCTAAAATAATATATACACACACAA